TTTTCGTCTGCTGACATTGTCACACCTCGTTGTATCTTTGATGGTACATCACTTGAAATTGATTCACTTGTTAAACTAATTGAAACACTTGACATTGTACTGTTATCATTGTTATTCTCATTATTTTTACTGTTTAAATGATCAATAACGCTCGATTTTGAATTTGTAACGACATCCATAATTTTGTGTGGTAAGAAGGATTGTTTTTCGACTAATGATGAGAGAGGTTGTTTGTACAACGAGTATTCTTGTTTCAAATTGTATGTGCCTAAATTTATTTATGGTATTTATTAAGATGCTTCCACTACCCATCACACACATCCAGAAAAGTCGATTTTTGATAAGAAATCCGGTTTTGAGATAAATGTACTATGTCAATATGGGATATAATACGACGAAAATTTTTCTAAGGGGAGGCGGGTCACCTTAAACAGAAATCAGATAATTACGTACCCATCCCACACATTCCACGATTAGTTTCTGCTACATAAAAATCACATAATAATTTCATGACCATTAGCACTCTATCGATGCTAATTGTATGAAATTGTATCATTTCCTTGTATACATAATTAAGACCTTCAGCTGTGTTACTAGTTATAGTGTTAACAAATAAATCACGAATTCCAAGTTTGTCCACCTCCCACATTCCTAAAACATCCGACCATAGAGTATGCTGAGAAGTAAGAGAAATCTATCAATCATAGAGTTTAGAAACAAATTGCATAATTCCTTTCTTCTAATCTCAGCCGGGAGCAGAAACAATTTACATAACAATCTACACTTATAAAAAAATCTAATTGATTCTGGTATGTAATTAATAAAATTCTCAACATATATCTAAGTTTGTCTTTCAATGTTCATTATCGACTCTCATTATCGGAATTAAAACAGACAATCAGATCCAAATTATTATTCGTCAACAAAGATATGTCGCTTCGATGTAAGGCTTTGACACATAATTATTTTAGCCTGATTTCTTAAAACTGATACTGTATTGGTTGTACGCCTAATTTATCTATCTCTCAATCTATCTACTAAAAATCGCGGTGAACAGGTTTGAAGAGCTCAAATCCTAAGTAGGAATCTGTTCGCCACAAATATAAGTTTAGGAGTCACTGCACGAGTGAAACGACGAAAGTTGCTCAATCGATGTTTGAGTTTTGGGCTCAGGATTTTATCGTAGGTAGAGGCAACATATATAGGAAGATTCCCAAACTTTTTTTCATTCGGACTTACTTCGTTAAAAAGTTATAGGGCTTAAAAAATAGCCTAAAACGATACTTGTATAAAAGTCAAATTTGTGATGTTTATATCTTGGTCTAGGAAGTTGATTAAGAGCTCATATTTGCAGCATAAGTAGTCGAGGTCGAATACTATCTATAACCAAGAGCATATGCAAAAAT